TTTTAAAATAGTTAAGCAGAGTTATTTTAGAGGACCATAAACATTTTATTCTTTCTAATATAAATTTGCATTAGTCTTTTCTTCTGCAGTTTATTATTCTGTGACACAGTGTAGCTTTTGTTAATTTTTGACTCTGTCTGAAAACAGAAGGCCCAATGAGACAGAGTCTCACTTTTTCACCCTTGGTAAAGTGCCATAGCATCATAGCTCACAGCAACCTCAAACTCTTGGGCTCAAGTAGTTCTTTTGCCTCAGCCTCTCAAGTATCTGGTACTATAGGCACCTGCCACAATGCCTGGCTATTTTTAGAGATGGGGGTCTCGCTCTAGCTCAAGCTGGTCTCGAACTTGTGAGCTCAGGCAGTTTGCCTGCCTCCACCTCCCAAAGTGCTGAGGTATGCCTGGCCCTAGACTTTTTTTTTAAATAACAAAATAAAATCAAAGTTTATCTGGTAGAAAAAAAGTCCGTTGGAAGAGCCAAAAATTTTTATAAGCAGATGCTCAAATACGTTTGTAAGATTTGGTATTCGAAAAGATAGTCACTATAATAGTTTGTTAGTGCATTTTATGTTGCTGTAAAAGAATAAACTGGATCATTTATAAAGGAAATAGGTTTATTTGCTCACAGCTCTGCAGACTGTGCAAGGAGTGTAGTGCTAGCATTTGCTTCTAGTGAGGGCTTCAGGGAGCTTCCAAACAAGGTGGAAGATGAAAGGGAAGCAGGGATGTTACATGGTAAGAGAAGGAGCAAGAGAGGGAAGAGGTCAGGCCAGGCTCCTTTGAACAACCAGCTGTGGCTTGTCAGTGAGGATTTAATCAGCAGAATAAACTAATTATTGTGGGGAGGGCACCAGGCCATTCAAACAGGGTCTGTCTCCATGACCCAAACTGCTCTTCCCAGGCCTGATCTCCAACACCGGGGATCAAATTTATCATGAGATTTGGAGGGGCCAGGATATCCAAACCATCCTTATCAGTTGGGTACAATAGATGAACATAGGCTCTCTTTCTCCCTTCAAATACATGTGGAGATCTAGTTTCTATAAAAGCTGGGTGGATTATTCAGTGATGATGTCACAATCTATAAACCATTTGGAGAATATAAAAAGCATATTAGAATATATAAATTCTAAAGAAAATATAAAAAGAATATATAAAAGCTCAATACAGTTGTAAGATCCATCACATCTTACAACTAAATTCAAAAATCAGTGAATTAAACAATAAAACCTTTAAAATTCTAGAAGAAACCATACATGAATTGTTTCCAGTGATAAGTGTAAGATACTGGTTGGATAATTCTACCATGTATTATGAACACATTGGATGATATTTTAAGTTCAGAGTAGATGAGGTAACATTTTGTAGTTCAAACAGTATTCAGATGGAAGAAGTGGAATTAAGTAGGATGTTACCGTGGTTATAATGAAGGAAACACAGCAGTTGGCAGAAGGTTGGAAGAACCATGAACTAAGCTGAGTTCTTGGACTTTGTATGAGCTATTCTAGAAATAAAGAGATTATGTTTTTGTTTTTGTTTTTTTAACCTTCTAACGTTTTGATTTGAGGACTCATTGTAGTAATGTAGGAACTACTTAGTAGTGTGGTTTCATGAAACAAAAACTATGACCTTCTTTAAGAGAAACCTAACTTAGCTGTACCTGCTATGTTAACAGTGTCTTTTTATAAAATATAAAATACATATATTTTATGTGTATGTAATATAAAATACATATATTTAATCTGCCTTTTGAACTCCAGCTCTCTGACTATGTTATCTATAAAGAAAAAATATATTTCCTTTTAGGGCAAATATGATGTAAAACAGTCTTGATTTTTGTGATTACTGATTTATTTATATTTAAAGGTAGTATATATATTAACTCAGGCAAATATACTTTGAATAACAGTCAATGACTTAGAAAAAAATATAGTGACAAACTGGTTTAGAAAATAAATGTATTTGTTGTTGTTTATAAAATGTGTAGTCATATAGTTCCTGAAAATTATTCTATTTGTATCTAAGTTATAGAGACTATAAATTATGACTCAATAATGCTTTTTTTGGTAGAAATTTTAATTTGACTTCATTGAAATCATTTTAAAGGAGAGGGAAAAGGGTCTAGAGGTAGAATAAAATGGAACAGAGAAATACTCAGCAAGCATATGTGGACTTTTCTTTTAAATTAGCAAAAATTTTAAGCATTAGCTGATTGTGTTAGTGCTAGATCAAACTATGTCGACATTTCTGCCCTTCCTCTCTTTTACCTAGCCACATGACTTTTTGTAGGTTTATCTTTGTTGATTTCATGACTTAATACATGTAAAATAGAATAGTAATAGCATTTAATATATCAGTGAGGATTTCAGTAGATAACAGAAGATGCACTTAGTTGGAATTTGAAGGTAGTTTAAGAGGCATAGTTGGGGTTAAGGGAGCCAGTGAGAGATATTGGACAATTTATCTAGGGGAACAGCAGAAACAGAAAGGTAGCATTGCCACCTCTAGACCTCCAGTTGGTTACAGCCATTAGCTGGGGGAACACTGCAGGCAGAAAGGAGGAAAAAGGACTGAGGGCTGTGTGGCAAACATTAACCAGCTACTTATGTTTTAGGTGGTTGTGAAACAATGAGTATAGTACAGTGTTCGTGACACAATATAGGCTCAATACAGAGTGGCTCTTTTTAAATCTAGGTATGTGTAGAGGAGTGTTAGGAGAAAGGTGAGATTTCCTGACCTTTTCAAAAATACATGTGGGTGTTATTGGAAACAGTAAGAATAGAGATTAATTGAAAAATTTCAGGAAGGAAAAGATATTAAAGAAGATGCGAAAAAAGGAAGTTGTAATTCAGATGAGATGTTCTCACTTAATACTTATGCAATACTTTTATCACAGTGTGTGACTTGAAAGATAAAAGATCCAGGAAAAGAAATTATATGCTATAATATTAGTATACATATTTGTTAATGGAGAAATAGTAGAGTTTCCAGGAGGGATGGGTAGAGTTAAGGGAGCAGAATTACTATAGATGTTGGATTCTGTGAAAGACAGGAAATAGCATTGTCCTTGTTCACATTGATTAGATTTTTCTGATCTTTTTGGGGTTTCCTTCTCATCCATTTTACCTTAAAAATGCACTGAAAGTTTTCTTCTCTTTTTTCTTTGTTTTTAGATTTTCTTTGTCTAAGAAAACTCAAAAGAAGAAAAACAGCTTTTATCAAATTCCGTATGGAGGGAGCTCAGTATATTATTTGGATACTAAAGTGTTTGCTAACTTACTAGTTTTTAGTAGAAAGCCATATGATCTTATGTCTGTTAGCCTTAAAAGCCCTGTGAATATTAAGATTTTTGTTTCATTTGAGGGATAGGAGAATGAAAGAAAGAAAAAAAATAACATTGATGAAAAGAAGTACTTACCCACTTGATAAACATGAATATCTTTCTCTCACAAAGGTACCTCCCTCTGCAGGACATCATGTGCATGGAATGTCTTTCCCGGAAGCTAAAGGAAGCAGTGACCCTATATCTGAGAGTTGTGAGGGTTGTGGATCTCTGTGCAGGGCGATGGTGGGAATATATGCCATGTGGTAAGTGGATTTAGCTTATAAGGTACAGTTGAGTCCTACTGGAGAGTAATAATAACAGTCTCATAAAATGTTATTTATTGTCTTGAGAAAGGCAATCTAAGTCACTTGGTATGTAGGAAGGCAGAATTTTATCCAAATTATTTAAGGTTGGAAAAATGCATTTTACCTGAGGTTTTACTCTTTTAATCACTTACTATTTAAGAAACTGTCAGCCTGTTTCACACAGATATGATTGGAGAATACTTACTGAGCCTTTGATTAACTAAGTATATGTGTATGACATTGGATAGAGTGTCTGTTAGTCTATGGTGCAAGTTTTCTGGTGAATGGTAACATTCTCCATCATAGTTTTCCTATGCTTCTTAACTGTACCCTCTAGTTAAACCAGTACTTAATTTGGTAGAACTAATCTAATAGGGTACAGAAATTGCACTTTCGAACTTTAATTTCTTCTTTTAAAAGTCGTGTATTAGGTCTTGGAGTTTCTCCAGTAAGACACTGACCTTACAGGTGAAGAACTCAAGAGTTAGCAGCCTAACTACAACAAATTGTTCTCATTTGAAGAGACCATCTAAAAAGAAAATTGAAGTTTTTGGCTAAGCAAAGTACTCCTAAAAGGAAAAAATTAAAACAAAAGGCTAATCGAGGCCTCTTTTTAGTACCAATCCATTAATTAGTGCCCTT